ACAGCCAGAGGCAGCAGGGGTGGCCCCACCCAGCTTATCACTTTTATCTCACTGGTCACTCCACTAGGACCTGAGAGACCCAGACACCAAGTCCCACCCTCTGCCGGGTGGTGCTCACTCCGTCTGGACAGCTAGGGGGCAGCACAGAAGGACTGGAGCTAGGGAACTGAGCCTTGGGCATCACACCTCTCAGGTGAGTCTCCGGCCACTGTACTAGTGACCCATTTTCACACTTTTTCCCTCTCTGGCCCACTAAATATGGGACAGAGAGAGAGAAAAAATGACTAATCCAGGATCCACCTGGGAGGTGGCAGAACCTAAGCCCAGCGCGAGCCCCCACACCTATACACACTCTGCCATCCCCTGCCGTTCTAACCACTTTTTGTGGTGCTCTGTGGCTTCAGTAGGAGACCGACATCCAGATGCTTCGAGGGACGCAGCAGTACTGAGGGAACTCTCACCCAGACACAGTAGGCACTGAGTAAGTAGAAGGACCTACAGAGTTTGGAGGGAGTTGTGTGGATTGCAGCGGAGTCAAATGCCTAACGACTAGACGTAGGCATCCATTGTTCAGGCAGCTAAATGCCTTTGTGAATCTGGTCAGGCAGGGGCGAAGTGGACCTGAATGGCTGGGGAGCCCTGGCCGGGTGGGGCAGCAGCTGCATCCACGAGTCCCATCCCCAGGGATCTCCAGTCTGGTGAGGAAGAAACAGGGTCATGGAGGCCAGGGAGCTTTGTCCCCGAGGAGCCCCAGTTGGGCAGGGCAGCAGCGGTACCGGTGTCCCACATCCCAGTCAGTGATCCCTGTTCGGGCAGGGGAGAAGCAGTGCCATGGCAGCTGGGGAGCTCCGTCCTGGGGAGCCCGAGCAGGCCGGAGCCCAGTGACAATGGGGATGGAGAAGAGCCAACTGCAGGGAGTAGGAGTGTCCTGGGAGGCCAGTAGTAGGGGGCTTCCCCATATCCGGCAAATTCCCTCATTTGGGTGCCGGCCAAGAGAAGTCCGACTTGTATTACCTCACTCCCTTGTATCACTTATAACATGCCATAAAAGGCACTTTTCTGAGCATAAAACCCTTTACATTCGACTTAAAGGCAGAATTTCTGATTTAAACATATGTGGTGTCTCTCATGTCAAATACTTGCAGAAGGATAAGCTTCCTACCAGCCCTGCACTATTACACTCAGCTTAGGGAGGCGCAGAGAGAGATACAGAGGTGCTAAGTGCCTCTCCCAAATGTAGACCCCAGAACCAGAACCCCAGACTCCTGCCTCCTCGTCCCTTGCCTAAAACCATCACGTTGGCCAAAGCATTTCAAAACCATAGAATCATAGAATAATAGGACTGGAAGGGACCTCAAGAGGTCATCGAGTCCAGTCCCCCGCCCTCAAGGCAGGACCAAGCTCCATCTAAACCATCCCTGACAGATGTCTATCTAACCTGTTCTTAAATATCTCCAGAGAGGGAGATTCCACCACCTCCCTTGGCAATTTAGTCCAATATTTGACCACCCTATTGACAAATACCCTGCAACTCTTTTATGTGCAGGTCTCCCTCTTCCCTACTCTCTGCGTAGGCTCTGTCACCTCTGTATTCAATGGGGAGGGCAGTCAACTCCTAAATAGGCCAAAGGATGGAACCCTTGCAAATGCAAAGAGCCCACATTCAATGGGGTTGCTTGTGAACAGAGGGGCTCAGCAGAAGGGTTCCTCAAAGAGGCCTCTAATGGTCTCCAAAGTTAATGCAGGGCCGTAGTTATTTAAGGAGCAAAGATGGGGCTGGCATAACAACCATTCAGGGGGAGGACAGCCAGCCTGGCTATGTCATAGCAGGAGCATATTGGCTGTTCACCCCTTTGACTGGTGGGAGCCAAATCTCTTTCACCTACATTGGCTTGTTTGTTGCTTTGTTCTCTCTCATGTTCACTAGAGTCGCCTCCCTCTCCCAGCCCTCTCGTACAACAGACCACGCACTAGTCCTCACCGGGGCAAGACCTTGCCATTCATTGAAGTGCACGACTCCCTGACACACGATGCAGCAGGGGAATTGGCCTTTCAAAGCTCAACACCTGGACGGTAAAATCTTGCGTCCATCTCAAACCACCTACCTCCGAAATAGTAGCTGTTCCCGGAATAGATCTGCGAGGGGGTGGTCGCGTGGGCAGCAGAGGCCACGTCATTATCCAGCGTCAGGGTGATGCGATGCCTCCTGGCATTTATGCTAACGGAATGCCAGAGCCCATCATGCAGATGGCTGCCTGGAAGAGACACGTGGAGGGTAAAAGGAGAAGAGGGGAGGGGAGAAGGCAGAAGTGGTGTGCACCAAACCTGCTTCGCGTTCAGTCTTGGAGGTGGGGGGAGAAATGTGAAAGCCTGGCTGGGATTGCAAAGAGCAGAGAGCAGGAAGTAACCAGCTAAGCTGATAAATGGATGCTTCACCGTGAAGTCCATTTTATCTATTTAAGCACTTCGGAGTCAGCTAGAAAGCGGAGAGATTTTTTCAAGATCTTCTTTAAAGGATTTAAGAATACAAGACCCCACTGTCTTTCAAAAGACTTGAGTTCTTAACCCCATTCATCACTTGGGAATGCCCCCCCCCCCAGATTAATAAACTCAAAATATTATCTGGCTACCCAACGTGCGTTGGGTTTGCTGATAGCACTCCTTGAAAGCCAAAATTACCACTCTGCCTGGGGGACATTGCTAATTGTCTCTTTCTTTTGCACATCTCCACAAGGCTGGGAACAAAGCTGACCTTTTGCTTCTTGGCTCTGTGAATCCATGTGACTCTTCAAAGATTGTAATATGTAAGATTCCCAGGTCATTTGTACTCACAGCTCTACAAGTCACAGGGCACGATTCGGACTGCACTTACACCCATCCAAATTAGAAGTAATTTAACTGCACTCAGTGGAGGGATGCCAGCTTAAAACTGGTGCAAGCGAGATCCGGATTGGACCGCTAATCTTGACTCTTGCTAGTGGGCTTCTCACAAACACATTGCTTTTAGAAGAAGCGAAAAGGCTTAACGATAAGTGAAGGCATGCTAACAATTGAAAATTAAATGCCAAAACTGTGTATGTGGGAAATAATTGAATTAAGCACCAGGAAATGAAACTATTTCCATAAAAGCTTTTGATTAAAGTATGCACATTTTCCAGAAAAAATGGACCCATTTCCAACAAAGAATAGGGCCATTTTTAAGTGAAAACACGTAGCTAAAGTTTGAAACTTGTTCAAGAAAATGGGTCAAATTTGTGTGGAAATGGATCAAAGATGTTTTTGCAGGAGATGGGGATGTCTACAATATTCCAGTGCTTTTTATGTGCCTGTAGCCCTGTTACCGATATTTTGTGCTTTTTCATGTTACGGTCAGGTTAACTATTTCACAACCACATTAAACACCACAATTTGACCTTCTCCAGCTTTCCCATCATCCCGCCTTTCAATGTAGGAGTAAGTGTAATATTTAGCATTTACTCAGGGGACTTGAGCCAGCTTCCTGAAGAATATCTGTACAGAGCTGCCTCCTCCTTTAACCTTTAACTTTTGAGAGCTTCACAAGGTGAACATGGGTTTTATATGACCACCTCATCCCTCTTAAATGTTATCAAATGAAGATTTTTGCTCCCTTTCAAAGTCAGGGCATGTCTAATATAGCAGGGCTGAAGCTGAAATAAGCTACGCAACTTGAGCTATGTCAACGGCGTAGCTGAAGTTGAAATAGCTTATTTTGGCTTTTGGCGCTGTCTGCACAGCAGGAAATCCAAGAAAGAGCACTCTTCCTCCGACTTCTATAACCCTCATTTTACAAGGAGTAAAGGAAGTCGGAGGAAGAAGTCCTCCAGCTCGACAGTATTTTGACATTATGTCAAAATAACTGCTTGTAGTGTAGACATGGACTTCGTTGTTTCATCAGTTATTCTGAAATAACACTGCTGTGTAGACGTACCCCTAGGGATTTGCCCAGGTCCAGTTTCCATCCAGCATACGTAAATGTTTCTGTTGGGTTTTTTTAACTACACATTTTTGATTAATGGATTTTTTTTATTCTAATCTACTCACGCCCTCCTTATTAGCCTTGGGAAATCTCAGTTCAGAGCCCAAGTGAAAAAAGCATTGCAAAAAAGCCTGGGACGAGTAGGCAACCTAGCAAATGCTGTTGGTCCTGCCTAGGGATTCATCAAGGGAGCTATAATGGAAGTCTTGCAGGAGACCTGCCCAGACTGTGCTTGGTTCTACCACGGAGAGAGAAAAGTCCTCTTATTTATCCATAGAAGCCAACACAGAGTTGTTCCACACATGCTATTTTAAGAGTATTCTCTCCACTTCCAGCACTCAAAGTCTGCTTTGTGCTATTCCAGCTGGGGAAAATAGCTGGCTTCAGTATCCAACTAGATTCCCCTGCGTGGCAGAGCTCTGACTATGCCCGTGGGCCCCGTACTTCTGGTGGATAGTGTTCTGCCTCAGGGACTCGTTGTGACCCTCCACACAGCCTCTTCTTTTCCTAGAGGCCACGGTCACAGTCTATAAGCCATACTTATCACAGGCTAGTCCATAGGGTCACAGCCTACAAACCATACTCAACACAGGCTATTCCATAGTATGGGGTGAAACCCCTGTGTAACCCAACCCGTGGACAACCCTTTGTAGTGGTGTGGGAAGTATGGGGTGAAACCCCTGTGTAAACCTACCCATGGACAACCCTTTGTAGTGGTGTGGGAATGGCTAGGGGGAACCGGGCCTACCCACTACCCCAGGTTCTGGCCAAGGGACTCGATGGCTGTGGCAACTGATGTGGTTTGTTCTACTCCATGTCTGGCAACTATTTCCCTAGGCCACTTCCCCAAACGATCCCTCCCAGGACCTTTCCAATGATACCTGAGCAGCCTGTCCAGCTCCTCCATACACTCTGCCTGAAATGCAGGTCCCAGCTCCCACTCAGACACCGCTCACTGCCAACTCTTGGGCTCCTTCCCTCCTCCAAATGCCTCTCATTGCTCTGAACTAACAGAAGAGGAGCCCTTTTAAATCAGTCTGAACTGGCTCATGATTGGCCCCAGGTGGGAAGAGGAGCCCTTTTAAATCAGTATGAACTGGCTCATGATTGGCCCCAGGTGTTCTGAGTAGCCTGACTCCCCTGTAGCCTGACTCCCCTGGCTCTGGAAGGCTCCAGGTGGTCCTGATTGGCCAGACTGATTCTGGAAAGTTCCTGCTGGTTCTAGGCCTCCCCTGCCAGCTACCTACTTAATCTAGGGCTATCATACCTCCCCTTCAAGCATGCTCCTGTAGCCTTCTGGCCTGACCCTGTCACACCTGGACCTCCTCCAGCGGTGTTCATCGCGTGCACCAACCCCTGCACCAACCTCTCTTGGCTGCTCCCAATGAGAGGTGTGGCTTAGAGAAAGGTCTGTGGTTCTGGGTGTCATTGTAGTCAGGAAATGTAGGCTTTCCCTAAATTGTGGCAGTCCTCTTGGGCCCTTTGCAAAATGGAATTCAATCAAATTCAAGGACCTAGCCCTGTGGTTCTCAACTGGTGGTCCATGGACCATTGGTGGTCCATGGTGACTTTTTCGGTAGTCCACGGGAACATTGTCCAAAGTCACATGGCGTGGGCAGGCATCAAAAATCTGTTTTTGATTGGCCTGGTGGTCCATGGACTGAAAAGAGTTGAGAACCACCGCTCAAAGGATGGGATTTTCACTACTTCTCAAAGGGCAGTTAGTCTGCTGTTTCAAAGGAAATTTAGGCTAATTCTAAAGAAAATGGTTGTTTGGCAGATATCGACCAGAGTTAACCAGGTCCAAGCTTTCTTGGTTCAGGCCCAGAAATAACATAGACAGTGCTGCTATTATTGCTCCAAATAGAAGGTTCGGTTTGATAAGGAAAAGCAAGATCCAACTTTCCCTCAGGTGACTGTTCTCCCTTCCCACGTGACTGGCCCAAGGATTAGAAACAGGCCTGGGAGACAGGAGACAATGAAAATACCTGCATTGATCTCCACGGAGTTTTCTGACACTCTCTGAATGACAAGTGTCAAGCTGCCAGCGTGGAGATACAGCAGGACGACTCCGGAATCTTCAGACAGCTCCGTGGACAGAAGCAGCCCATCTTTGTTCCACGTTCGAAACTGGAAGCTGACTGACAGCCCGTCAATCTGGGGGGTGCCGGGTAAAAGCAGATAGCTGCTGCTGGAGCTGACAAAGGTGATGGGAACAATTCGTGGCTCTGAGCAGGAAAAAGTCACGTTGCCCTACAAAACAATAAGCAGTAAACATGTCAGGCTGTTGGTTTTTTCCCCCCATTGGGAGACCTTCTTTAAACAGTTGCCCTCAAAGCTGGCCTTGATTTGGGGATTATTTTGCTCTCCCATAGAAGTTTGAAATATAATACTTTTATATGCTCTGCATATGTTGACACCAGCAAGTTTCTTGCTGAGACACATTCCGTGACAGATTTATGCACAAGCTAAGACAGACACACCTTGGAGCATCAGATTATGAGGGACTGCTGTCTCAGAAAATCCCTTCTCATTTTTAGTTGCATCCTCGCCTATGTACCAACATATATGTAAATATAAAACTTTATTAGGTCTATTTCAATTGTCCTTTCTGTTAGAATAATACACATTTTGGTAATGCTATGTGGCCTCTTAAACTTGATGTAGTTGAGACAGGGCTACTCAACATATGGCCCTCAGCCTGTGTGTCTGTGGCTCACGGTGCAGTTTGGGTTTACGTGGGGTTCAAGATGTGGCCCATGGGTGGGAGCCAAAACAAAAAAGTAGCCAATATAATGGTCTTCTGTTGAGATGGCTTTTAGTAGTTAAATTCCTGGACTGTCATTGTTCACTGAAAGTGGTGTCATATGGGTAGAAATCGGGTAAATATTGCATTTTATTCATATCAGCAGAACTGACTTAAATGGGGCCTGAGTGTTGTGTAGTCTCGCCTTAATCTTTGTATTCATGCCCATCAGCATGAAAGAAGCTATTGGAATATATTTGCATATATTTGCATGTACATGCAACCAAACTTAAGTTGCGGACCTCAGCATGTGTTGTGAGCAGGGTTGCCAACCCACAGAAATTTCATTTATGGACAAAATGGGAAAAATTGACGGACGGACACATTTTTTACGGACATCGTTTTTATACTAAATTAAGACAACATAAATGGCCAAAAGTGAAAAGTAATCATTGTCATTCATACACCAATGTGCTGAAAAAGGGAACAGCATCAAACTCTTTGTTTACTAGATTAGTTCTTTCAGAGATTACATATATGGTGGTTTATATGCATTTAGGCCTGGTCTATATTGGAATCGACGTGTCTTAAATCCCTGTCCACACAGCAAGAGGTCCCTGGTTGTGAGTATCATTGTGGCCCTGGTTTAAGGCCATATGTTGTAAACTGGCCCCAGAGGCTGTTAGGGACCTGGTAGTGTTTCAGTTTAGCTCAAGAATGGGTGTTTTGCCATTGACCAAAAAGGGCACAGCATCAAACTCTTTGTTTACTAGATTAGTTCTTTCAGAGATTACATATATGGTGGTTTATATGCATTTAGGCCTGGTCTATATTGGAATCGACGTGTCTTAAATCCCTGTCCACACAGCAAGAGGTCGATGGGAGCAAACACTCCTTTCAGCTTCCCTTATTCCTCGCACGGAGTAAGCATACTAGCCAATAGGGGCACCCTCTGAGTTTGATTTAGCATGTCTTCACTAGACCCACTAAATCGAACCCTGGAAAAGCGACCACATAGGGCCAATGTGACCTTAGCTAATAAAATCTGTGTTGAGGCAGTGGGTGAGAAACCTCACCACATTGTTTTATTCCCCCTAATCGTACATGTATATCTACCACGCTGTGAACAACAATGACCCCTTGGATTTATTTAGCACCTCCCAAACACAAAAGACTTCATAGGATGCAGAGCATTGTTGTGTCATTCTGTTGTACACTGTTAAGCAGCCATCACTTCTCACCCCAAAGTGCCTGCACTTCAGAAGCAGTGGGTGAAGTTGCTCCTCCAATCCGCCCTGTGATCACGTGAATGAAAAGCTCCTAAATGTCATTCTAATTACACAGTTTTCTACCTCTGGGCTAAGAGGTGTTAGGGTTTATCCACAAGTAAAGTTATAAAATAGTTGGTTAGGATGAGAAGCCTAATTAATTAAATTAAAATTCAAGGAGACATTTAGGTAGATTGAAGGCAAGCACCCCAAGTGTAATATGGCGATTGGGGACTTCTAACCCAGACGGCTTCAGTTCGTTGTCTGACCGCAAAGAGACAGGCAACACCAGCAAGGTCTAATCACAAAGCTCTTTATTGAAGAGCGCACACGACAATAGAGAGCAGCCCGTCTCCACCGAAAACCAGCCGCTGATTTCTATAGCAAGTGGGGTTATATAGACAGTTCCATCGCATCATCGACTATTCACTTAAGCAACCCACCCCCCTTTGTTAGTTAGAAACTTCTAGCATGGATGCATACCTTGCCAACTATACAAGGTGGCCTTGATACATCAGCAACTTTCTTATTAAGACAGAAGGCAAGTACCAGCCAACGAGGAGACAGGGAGTTTCCTTATCAGTTCCTTAAGCAAGCTATTCAGCTCGGCAAGTACAGAAATGCAGCTTTTCGCTTATCTCATGCCCTTGCTCAGCTCATGTCTCAAATTTTATTCAGGGACTACCCAGAACCCTTTGCTGGACTCTTCTCGGTCTGTTTTAGCATAACCGCCCTAGGCCCAATTTTCTGTGACCTAACAGGGCCAATGTTTTAAGACTAATCTCTAGCACAGATTCTTATTACTGCACAAAACAACGTAGAAACAAATAGCTGGATGATTCCATTTTGATTATAATGATTAGGTAGGATGGCACTCTAACCCACATCCTTGCATTTGCTGTCTCTACAGAAATAATTTTTGAGATGTTACTACAATGCTGCATGTACAACAAAATTATGGAAAGCCAAGTAAAAAAAATCATATTTTCAACAGTATCCTTAGGATGTTTAGTACCGTATCCTGCCAGCAGCCTCACTGAAATCAGTGGGGCTCCTTGAAATATAAGGTACTGAGGAGTAGTTCCATTCTTCACGTTATCTCAGAGCTTATTGTAGCCGGTAGGTGGAGAAGATGCCCTATTGTTTATTTTCAGGGCTATTCCATGTTGATTATCTAGCCCAGCCACTCGAGTCAGATAACAAAAACTTAGCAATTAATGAGACCAAAACACATTTACAGAATCATATTTCTTCAAAGCTAGAAAATTGCTGAAGCTAGCTTACAAGAAGCCTTGTAAAATACAGACTGGAATCTGATAAACCCATTGAAGTGAAATGCTCTCTCCACAGAACAGCCTCTCATTAGAGTGGCTATCTCATTTTAACAGGATAATTATAATGAACAAAGCATGACTGATGTGTAGGAACTTGTATGGTGCTTGAAGAATGCCTTATTGAAATGACATGACAGGTAAAAGAACTATACCCTATCATTTTCAAGACCTCTTCTAGTCTTTATTATTTTCCATGGGAAATTTAATAAAGTGCCAGAAAGAGAATTAATGAAACTGTATGAAACAAACTCTCCGTAGATTATTTTTCTAGGTGCAGAGCTGTTTGCACCAAAACAAGCAATGGCAAAAGGAAACGGAAGGCTTCTCCAGTGTTCCCAGGAAGCTGTGCACTTGAGTGGCCATGCAGAAGAGATTCAAATGCCTCCCACGTGATTGGCAGAGTGCCCACAGCATGTGATTCTACCAGTAGTACACATCTGCATATGCTTTGGTGCAGATAACATTTATTCTGCACATGGATGGGGAAAAAAGAGGGAACATTGGGCATATCTTGTGTGAATTATTATTTAGAAGCGCTTATATGTTTATCCAAATTATCTGGCCCTCAGTCACCTGGGAGCTAGGATGCAAATTTGCCTATAACCTTTTAAATGTTTCTAGTATAGAAATGTTTGGTTTAATCTAAATAGGAGATACCAGAGCCCCAGGAAGCACTGGGGAGTAATTAGTTTGAATTAGTCTGGAGAGTAGTTATTTTGAAATAGCAGCACTGGAGCATCCACACTAACACCATGTTGAAATAACAATTTTGAAATTAGCAATATTCCCTAAGGAAAGCAGGAGTACGGATTTCAAAATAACCAGCCTGTTATTTTGAAATAACAGATTTGGTAATGTGGACATTCCCATTATAAATGTGACCTAAGGAAGGCTATTTTGAAATAACTCCCGCGTGTAGACCAGAGCCAGAGGTACATCTACACAGTAGCATTATTTCAGAGTAACTGACTTTATTCAGGAATAACATAGTGCACATCTCTACTACCAGCCTTAGTTACAAATAATGTCAATTTGGAGGACTTCTTATTCCGATTCATGGTAACCTTCATTTCACAAAGAGTAAGGAAAGTCGAAGGAAGAGTGTTCTTCCTTTAACTTCCTGCTGTGTAGACAGCGCCAAAAGCTGAATTAATCTATTTTGACTTAAGCTACGCAATTGAGGTAGCTGAAGTTGCATAGCTTAATTCAGCTTTAGCCCTGCAGTACAGACATACCCCTACTAGGAAATCTGCCATGATGGATTAAAAATTGAAGTCTATGTCACCTGGTTGAATTTATATAGAGAATTTTAGTTAAACAAAATATAATTTAACTGAGTTCGAATTTAGTCAGGATATTGAAATAAATATTCCTTTATTTGAAACATAGATCTTAGCATCTTAAGTACTTTAAGCAGACTTTTGTGTCTCATCTGAAAGACAAAACACAACCTCTTAGCAACATGTTAAGGTGAGAGTTTAGTGTTTACCCATATGGAAAAGTTACTTACTGAATAATTAGTGCAGATTGATTTTGACTGATCTTCTATCCACATGCTAATGTACAGGGCTCGACAAATCTGTGTATCTATTCACCTGTGGTGAGTAGATTTCAGCCGGTCACCCCGTTCACCGGCAGTGTGGGTCTGGTGCATGCGCAGCGCGGGGGTGGCAAGTGGATTTCGCCGCAGTTTGTCGAGCCCTGCTAATGTATATAAGAACATAAGAATGGCCATGCTGGGTCAGACCAAAGGTCCATCCAGTCCAGTACCCTGTCTGCCAACAGTGGCCAATGCCAGGTGCCCCAGAGGGAGCAAATCGAACAGGTAATGATCAAGCGATCTCTCTCCTGCCATCTATCTCCATCCTCTGACAAACAGAGTCTGGGGACACCATTCCTTACCCA